AAGACATTAACATTTCCCATTGATTGTTGAATTAATCTTACATAATTAATCACGATTATCATCTTAATTACTTGGTTTACTTAATATGCTGGCTGCGTATATAATTAAATATTGAAATGTTTCAAAGGGTCAATAATAACTGTGTTAGAAGCATAGTTCTTAACGAAAAACGTGAACCCCACTTAATATTAGGTGAGGCGACATAAGTTTAAATTATTGATCAAATGATAATTAATATGTTAATAAACTATCAAATGCGTTAACATTCAACTCTTCTAAATTATCTATGCCGATTTTTTCCAAGCTAAAATCAAGTTTATGATTTCGAGGTGGAGGCCAGGTAACATATGTTTTACTCCTTTATTTTCTTTAATTTCATTGAACTTTTTTTTTTTTTTTTTTTTGGTTGACCGGTGGTATTTGGGCCAGTTTGTGCATCCTCGACCAATCCTTAAGGGTCCTGAAGTTAACGATTGGATATACTCTCCAGTGACCACCCATATTAGCAACCGAGGGGAATCGGACTTAAAACCACTTAAGTAATATACCCAAAGAGTCCCTATGACGCCACCCAACCACCTCAGGGTGGTTAATTTCTTTGAACTTTCAAGTTCGACGTTAAATTATACGGAAAATATATCACTAATATTAGACAAATGAAGTAATTAAAGTAATTAATTTGCGAGGCAGTCAACTCAATTTTATACTTAAGATGCGTTTGGTTTAAGGAATGTTATATTAATAGAAAGATAGATTACCTTGAAGATTACTGGGAATGTTGTATTAAATGCATTTGGTTAGATTGAAATAAACTAATGGATATGTTATATTGATATGTATGGTTGGAATGAATAAATTGGTAGGTATGTTATATAGATTACTGAAATTCCCGTCTTTCTTAATGTTATTATAATAGTATTATTATTTGAATTATTCTTTTAACCCCTTATAGTTGAGATTTTGCTAAAACACCCAACCACAATAAAAGTTTAAAAATTAGCCAAAACACCCCCACCCACCCCCCAAGAGGATTGTTGGTCGTCGGCCACCACACCAACATTCATTAGAATGGTGCACGATCGGCTGGATCTAGCCGATTGTGCACAGATTTGGCCGTCTCTAGCCAAATGGCCATGGATCTGGCTAGAAACATGTATCCAGATCTATTATGGTCGGGTTTCTAGCCATTGATCTAGCCAAAAATAGCCAAATTGGCGCATGACTAGCCAAGGCCTAATTCCTCACTCAAGAAGCCCTTGTTGAATGAGAAAATCACCCCCTCTTATAAACCAAAAGGCTTGAGCATGCCTAGTCGGTGTAGGTTTCTAACACTCCCCCTCACGGTCAAGCCCATATGTTGGGCCATGCCTGTTGATGAAGGTAGTTGCTGGCTCTAACTCCTCACATGTTGGCCAAACACTCAGCTCAATTGGGCCTAGCTCTCATACTATGATAAAATTTGAGGTGAGTCTGACTCCTCACCCAATAAGGCCTTATTGAATGGGAGGATTACCCCCCCTTATAAACCAGTAAGCTTGAGCGTGCCTAGTTGGTGTGGGACTCTAACAAATCTGACCGGTCTTGCGTCGTTCCAACGATTGTCGACGTGGGCTAGCGATGGTGGCTGGCAGTCCTCTTGGGTGGTTAGGGTGTTATGGTAAGGTTCATATAAATTGTTTTCAAAACAAGGGCATTATTGCAAAAAAAATATTACTTAGGGGTCGTTTGGATCAAGGGTGAATAAGATAACAGTGGTAATCTTCGTTTATTTTACAAGATTCATGTGTTTGATGCAAGTAATAAAATATTATGGTAATCTTTTATTGCAAATAGTGTTTACTATTGGTAATATGGGGGGTAATCTTATTACCTTGCTAAAGGGTGTTATTAAAACATTACCATGGTAATCTGACTTTTCGACCCATTTTGCCCTTAATTAGAAACCATTTCAGATATAATTGCCCTTAAATGTCTACCAAATAACAGTTACCCAGCCCCCCTACATTTGAGAAATTAGCTAAAAAACCCCAGCCACAAAAAGTTTAAAAGTTAACAAAATACCCCTAACCACCCAAGACCACCACCGGCCACCGGTGTCAGTTGCCATAATGGTGCACAACCAACGTGATCTGGTCGGTCGCGCGTTGGTAAGGCCTTTTTTGGCCATGGATCTATCGAAAACAGCCAGATCTAGTGTTTCTATGGCCGTTTCACAGCCAAAGATTTGGCCATGAAACAGCCACAGATCTAGCCGTGAAATGGCCATAGATCTAGTCATTTTTTGGCCATGGATTTGTGATCCATGGCCATTTTCGGCTTTGTCGATGCACGACCATCCATATACAACCAATTGTGCGCCATTCATTCGACTGTCGGTGGCAGCCGGCGGTGGTGGTTGGCTGCAGGCAGTGGCTTGGGGTGGGTGGGGGTGATTTTGCTATAAATTAAAGTTTTATATGGCTGGGGTGTTTTAGCAAAATTTCAAATGTAGGGGGTTAAAAGAAATGATTCAAAAAATAATAATAAAAAATATTAAAATATTAATATTTAAAAGGGCAATTTAGTAATTTATATAATATACCCACCCATTTATTCTCCCTATCAAACATATTATTCACCAATTTATTCAAACCAACCAAACATATTTTCTAAGAGTAATGCTACCTTTACATCATTTTCATTATGCCATGACCATTTTACTAATAATAATTCTATTATAATATTAAAAATTCAAAATAATTAAAAATTTGTGTAGATGTGACATATAACATATCATGATGTAATGAAAATAGTGTAAGGGGTGGTGTAAATGTAGCATTACTCATTTTCTAAACATTCCCAATAATCTTCAATGTGATATTTCTTTCCGTTAATATAATATACCCCTATAATAAAATATTATATGATTCAAACGCCCACTTAGGAGTAAAATTGTAATACAGGGTCCATGTAAATTGTTTTAAAAACAATGGCATTACTGTCAAAAGAATTATTAATTAGGGGTAAAATTGTAATAAAATTAAGATTATTAAGTAATATTAGAATACTTAAGAAAATTGTGGTGTTCAGATCCTACTTATATAACCAATAGTGATTACTATTTGTATTAGAGAATTACCAAAATATTTTATTACTTGACAATTAAATATAGTAATGTCAGTAATATAAGATGACATTACTGGAGTAATAGAGGATAATCTCCAATAAAACGTACTCTTAAGGATAACCAGGAAGTTCAAATATGACTTCAGTGTTAAATTTATTTGATCTCATACTTAGTTGCCCTTTAAGAACGCAATCTCATAACTGTCTTACGTATAAAAATATAAACTTCTTCAGAGTTTTGGTGGGATTACAGCAAATGAAATAAATGGCTATTACAATTTTATCACCCATCTTTTTTGAGCAGTGGCTTCATGCATAACATATTCAATTGATTCTTTTGGGTAAAATGATTTATTTATTGAGTCAACGATATGTTCTCACCCAATGTTTGGCCTAAAGAAACTTTCTCACTGGAAAAGTTTCAAAAAGACAGTTTCCTACAGGTCGACAATTAACTTCAATTGAAGGAGAACAAAATGGTAAATTAAAAAAACATTCGAAGGGTAATTATGTCATTTCATTCCCTGTATATAAACTTATAAAAAAGAAAGAAACCTTAAATCCTTTTCCCTTTCTTCCCCACCCCTCCCCACCCCCTTCTACCTTTCTTCCCCACCCCTCCCCACCCCGCCGCCCCAAAATCTAACCAGACCCAAGTTGTGTTAAAGTGATTTTTAACTGTTTACACAAATGTCTATATAATTCTGTCCTCTCATTTGGAAACATGAGATGCTAATGCTAGTGTTTATCTTCACATCCCAACATAATTGGCTGCTTAAATGATTAAGTCACGATTTTAACACTTTCTTTACAAATTATAATATTTTAATTTTTTGATCTAGATCATATTGATTCATCATTCGTCAATACAACTTACCAGTTAAATGATTGGGCATATATAACATTTCTTTAGGTATTCACAAGAAAAGTGGGCATATATAAATTTTAGGGTTAAACCATTCAATCACTTGAACGCCAAAAATATCGCCATTCTCATTAGATAAGAGTTCCAAAATCCATTCGGATAAAACACTCAGCAGGTAGAAAATTAGAAAACTAGCACTCACAAAAATACACATTTGCTCTAAGGGGTTGACCTGACAGTCAAAGAAGTTTGCTCAATTTCTTGAATTCCTGATAGGTTCAAATCTTGAGGCCACTATTACAATAATATTATAGTTTACCTAGTTTTTTAGACTTGTAAGGCATTCAATAGACTCTAAAGATGAATTAAGGTACGCATAACTGGTCTAAAAACCCCTGTTACAAAAAGAGAAAAAAAACACATTTGCTTATGCCAGTATTATTATTAAATTTCGTAGCTTAAATTATATAAAGCGGTGCATGAAACTGATCCTCTAAACCAATACAATAGGAGTTATCATCGCAAAGTTGCAAAGAAATGGATAAACACAGGCAAAAATATAATGCATGTTCTTCTGGGCATGACATGATCAACTTCGACAACCTCCACTGTTTATATATACATAGAGGACAAGAACTAAAAGATAAAACTGTAAGTTATTATAACGAAATCAAGCTGAAACTGCTGAACACATTAATGGCTGCTCATTATTCATCCATGGACCAAAAAAAAAAATATATAAAAACATGCATAAAACGTGTTTTAATTTCATCTGTGAAATTACCCAATTCAATAATAATAATAAAGAATTTTGATTCACACGCTTTCTCTTAATTAAATCTCTCTTTGTGCTTCTCCATATACCAATGTGGTCCCTAACCCTGGTGCAAATAAACCCAATTATTTTAAAATTAGAATTTAATCTTTATTTTATTTAATTTGTAAGCTAAAATTATTATATATATTCCACTCCATGACACACATTGCAGTATATAAAGTTATCATAATCTATCGAAGTCGTACACCCCATTTCTAGGAATATAAATTAGCTGTCTTGCTCTTGCAGATCAACTATTAATTCCTATGCTCATATTTGTTTTTCCTTGCAGAATTTCAATTCATGGCTAAAGTTTACCCTAAAGCACCCATTGTTTCTCCTTACCTGACTTTAAAAAGAGAGTCATTCACAATATGGATGAAGTCTCTTTTATGCCATTCAAATGGTTGCACGGTTTTTGATTCTGATGGCCAGATTGTCTATCGCGTTGATAACTATGACAAAAAATGCAGAAACGAAGTTTATCTCATGGATCTCCGCGGCAAAGTTCTCTTCACTATAAAAAGAAAGGTACTATCCTAATTAAGTTGAACAACTATATACAGAGCAAGTGTTGCGATGTCATATTTATGGAATGACATATTCTTAATTATCGATATATATTTTTGCAGAAATTATTGGTTTTTGAACGTTGGGAGGGCTATAAATGGAGCAGCAGCAGTACCGTAAAGAAGGAAAAGCCACGGTTTAAAGTAAAAAAGTATTGCAAATACTTTTTTATGGGAGATTTAGCTTGTAAAGTTAGTGCTGGGCATGATAATTATTGGATGGTGAGATCGTCAGCTGGCAAAGCAGATTTTAAGATAGTGAACAACGATGGAAATATTATTGCAGAGGTTAGTTTTTAATTTGTTTTGATCATTACAAAGACAATCCATATATTTTTGGGTTTTTTTTTTTTTTTTTGTTTTTTCTTATCGGAAATGGGTATTTATATTATAGAATGCTTCTGCAGGCAAATCAAAAGCAGTCGTCTTCAGGAATCTTGTTAGGAGAAGACGTATTGACTTTGAGAGTGGAACCCTATGTTGATCATTCCTTCATCGTAGCTCTCGTCACCGTCTATGGATTGGTCAATCGAAAAATGTAAATAATTAATCTTCTCAAGAACAATTTTGCAGAGCGGGATGTTTTTAGTGTTTTCTTATTTTCCTTTCGAAAAACCTGAAAGGATAGCTAGGAATACTGCTATGTATAAATTAGAAAGATTATGGAAATTAACACAAAGAGAAAAGAAATATATAGAGACATGTATTCTTATATTCTGTATTCAATTTATTCAACTTCTTAAACCTGATGTTTCTTCGAACTTGCAATTGCAAGCATATACTAGTTTCATTTCTCCTACAGATTGTTTTGATAAATGGTTGAGCATGAAAAATAATAATCTGCTCTCATGAGAAAGATCCTGGTGATCTCATCCTAATCCATTGTACAATGACAAACCAATAACTGTACATAAAATGAGCATATTAATTTAAACATGCTCTTCTTTTAATTAAGCCAATTTTTTTTATCATTCTTTCAGTTCTCTCAAACTCTCCAGAATTTTCCTTCATTATGTCTTACTTTCTGTTGATCTATGGAAACTAGCAACCTGAAAACCAGTAAAGGAATATGATATTAAAGTTCTTCACTCAACTATGGCAACCCAAAAAGGGCTTTATCTTTTTGTTCCGGTGTGCTATCTTCTTTGACATCTCTCAGCTGAGAGTTGTGAATCGCATGCAGAAGCGACTAAGCCATTTTACATGTTAATTGTTACATAAACATTTAACATTCGTAACTCAACATGTTCCATGTGCATATTGTGCATATTCTAAGCTTAATTATGCGATTTTTGCTACTGCCCGTTTCATTCAATGTCATCAACTTCATAAAGTTGGGAATTAATACGTCACTTTTACATCATAAATAATTGAAAAATCTACTTTGACAAACACTATATACATACATAAGGACATTCTGATCAACGATCGATCAATAGAGCATAGAGCATATATATGTTGGAGTTTCAAAGTAAGATATGTTTAATTAAATTCACTAGAAAACCAAAGAAATAATTGAAATTCCTTTCCTCATAACATATATATCAAAGCCCTCAAGTAATATAATTTAAAGGAAGGAAAATTAACATAAAATACTCTCGATTTAATTAAGAAAAAAGTTAATTAATTACCTTCATGTTTCCATTGTGTTAATTTGTGTGCTGATCACCACACTAAAATATGCAAATTAAATATCGTTAACTTATAAGTTCTCTCCATCTCCATATATATGTACATGCATTAAATGTGATCGATCAAGTATACCAACGTGAAAAATATATATGATATTCTAATTATATTTCAAAGTTAATTATAAACTAATCTTTTATTCTTTTCATTTTCATTGGTGTTACAATAGATACATGATTAACTCTTGTCAATATAGTGCTTCCGATTCCGAATTAAGGTGAGATAAATCTATCACAGTAAATACCCTTTAACTTATGTGTTTATATATGGTGATAGATGGGAGTGGTGATCTAATTTTGAGCAAAATCTGAATCTGATTGCGATCTATTTAATCTTCTTGACTAATAAATATATAGTCTGTCTCTTGGATCACATGGGATATTCTTCATCTTAAATTATTATGAAAATATCTTGGATGGTAGAATGGAAAGGAACCAATAACAAGCAATCTACCTGATCGAGTTGGCATCATTCTCATCAAAGTCCACACCTTGTCGGGTATAATTCAATATGACAAGCAGAAGAGGCTTTCATTCATTCTTTACATTTTGGTCAACATTATTAGCCCAACCCTTACAAGTAAGCACTTCTTTCTGACGATTTCGGCACATGAAACGAAGTCATTGTTACTGTAGGTGTTAAGTGCCCGTGAATACTAAGGAAAGAGGAGAGGAAATTGAGTTGAGAGAAAAGTTATATTTCATTGCAATTCACATTACAGTTTTATAAAACCAAAATGCTTACTGTTACACCAACTAACCAGTACAATTACAGGTTTGAAATTTAAAAACAAGATTTATAACTAATAGCTGAGAGCACCTAAACATATCACCAAAATCTAACAACCACAGCAGCTTCATTCACAGCAGACATAGTGCTTCATTGGTTCCAAAAATATTTCAAAAGCCAACTGGATTTCCAATCAAATTTCCAGTAAAATATAACTGTTTCAACACTCTTCCTTGATATTTTTGCTAGAAACACCAAGTTTGAGCCTAAAGTCTTCAAACTTGGTTTTGGAGAATCCTTTAGTCAAGATATCAGTTACTTGATCATCACCTCTACAATGAACTAGCTTAACTTGCCTTTCTTGCTCAGCTTCTCTAACCGCATGGAACGTGATCTTTATGTGTTTAGTTCTTCCATGATGATCAACTAGATTTTTAGCCATAGCAAAAAAGTTATATTTCATTGCAATTCACATTACACTTTTATACAACCAAAATGCTTACTGTTACACCAATTGACCAGTACAATTACATGTTTGAAAGTTAAAAACAAGATTTATAATTAATACACCATTAATTTTAGCTGAGAGCACCTAAACATACCACCAAAATCTAACAACCACAATAGCTCCATTCACGGTAGACAGCAGGTAAACAGAGTGCTTCTTTGGCGCCAAAAATATTTCAAAAGCCAACTAAATTTCCAGTCAAATTTCCATCAAAATATCACTATTTCAATACTCCTCGATATTTTTGCTGGAAACACCAAGTCTGAGCCTAAAGTCTTCAAACTTGGTTTTGGACAATCCTTTAGTCAAGATATAAGCCACTTGATCATCACCTTTGCAATGAACCAGCTTAACTTCCCTTCTTGCTCAGCTTCTCTAACCGTATGGAACTTGATCTTTATGTGTTTAGTTTTTCCATGATGAACTGGATTTTTAGCCATAGCCAGCCGATTGATTGTCACACATAATTGCAGTAGGATGTCTTTGCTTTAGTTTCAAAACTTCCAGAATTTTCTCAGCCAAACATCTTGATTAACAGCAGCTGCAACCAAAATGTATTCTGCTTCTGTTGTATTGGATTGTGCCACGGTTTCCTATTTTTTTGAGAGCCAGCAGATTGCACCCTAATTCAGGAAGAAGGCATACCCTGAACTACTCTTCATGTCTTCCATAGAACCACCCTAATCACTATTAGAAAATCCCACCAATTCAAAGTTTTCTGACCTCCTAAACCATACTTCAAAGTTGGTGCTACCTTTCACATATCTTAGCACTCTTTTTGCAACTTTGAAGTGTGTCTCCTTGGGCTGATTCATAAACCTGGACAACAAACTTGTAGCAAACATGATATCAAGTCTAATTGCTATTAGGTACAACAAACAACCAATCAAACTCCTCTATTGCCCTTCATCAACACTTTCTGCATCATCATCTTTTAATAGCTTTTGATTAGGAACCAATGGAATGTCCACTGATTTGCAATTCTCCATATTGAATTTCCTTAAAACTTCGCTTGCATACTTCTCCTGGTTAACAAAAATTCCAGTTGAACTTTGATAAACCTACATCCCAAGAAAGTAAGACATTTCTCCTAAATCTGCCATCTCAAACTCATCAAGCATGGATTTCTTGAACTCCTCCAGCTAAGTTTGTTTAATCCCTGTCACAAGAAGATCATCAACATACAAAGAGATAATCATCACATCTTCATCAATCTCTCTAACATACAATGTATGCTCATTTGGACTTCTCACAAAATCCAAGCTCAATAGGTGATCATCGATCCTACTGTACCAGGCCCTTGGTGCCTGTTTCAGGCCATACAAGGCCTTCTTTAATAGATAGACTTTATCTTCTCTTCCTCTGATCTTGTACCCTTCCAGCTATTCAACATATATTTCCTCATTCAGCCATCCATTGAGGAAGGCTGATTTAATGTCCAACTGAAAGATTTTCCATCCAAACTATGCTGCCACTGCAAGTAATAATTTAATTGTATCATGCCTAGCAACTAGTGCAAAGGTATCCAATAAGTCAACTCCATATTGCTAAGCAAAACCTTTAAAAACCAGTACTGAGCCATCCAGATTGAGTTTCCTCTTGAAAATCCATTTAACTTGGATTATTTTTCTATTCTGAGGTATGTCTACCAGGTTCCAAGTTTGGTTCTTCTCAATCATGCCAACTCCTCCTTCATGGCAGCTCTCCAAACCTCTGATTTTGCTGCTTCAAAGTAGCTTGTTGGTTCAAGTGAAGCCATGTTGCATCTCTCATAAACCTCAGCTAAATTTTTGGTACCTCTAACCGAGAGTTCCTCTTCTGCATCACTCTCATCATCTTCAAGAATCTGATCAGTAGCAGCTTTTGTCCATTTTGGTTTTGTCTCCACATCAACTCTACTTTCTTCCCAATTCCAAACTCCATCCTCATCTATTTTGACATCCCTGGAAATCAAAATTCTTTTGGTTTCTAGAACATACACCCTATAAGCTTTGGATTGGCTGCTATAGCCAATAAAAATGCCAATTAAGGCCTTCTCATCCAGCTTAGATCTTTTTGCTGCTAGAACTAAAATATAGCATATGCTCCCAAATACTTTGAGACTGTCTGCTGCTGGTTTAACTCCATACCAGGCTTCATAAGGGGTTTTGCTAACTAAGACTTTTGTGGGAAGCCTGTTGAGCAGGAACATTGCTGTGTTGATAGCTTCTGCCTAAAAATTCTTTGGCAACTTCTTCTCAGCCACCATACACCTTGTCATCAACATAATTGATCTGTTCTTTCTCTTACTGACTTCATTTTGCTGTGAAGTGTAGGGGCTGCTATATTGATGCCTAATTCCAGCTTCCTTGCATACTTACTCAAACTCTTAAGAAGTGTATTCAGTACCATTGTCACTTCTCAAGGTTTTGATAGTTTTTCTAGTTTGGTCTTCCACCAGCTGCTTAAATTGCTTAAACACACCAACTACCTCTCCTTTTTGCTTCAAAAGTACACCCAACACATCTTGGACCAATCATCTCTAAACAATACAAAATACCTACTTCCACTCAATAACAATGTCTCCATAAGACTACACACATCTGTATGAATAAGCTGAATTTTTCCAGCTACTCTTCAAGCTTGGTTTGCAAGGAAAGGCTGCCTACTCAACTTGCCAAGTTGACAAGCTAGACATACAGTCTTACTCTCCTCTATTTCAGGCAGATTATAGACCAATTTTTTTGTTTGAATTTCCTTGAGACCTTGATAATGAAAGTGACCAAGTCTCTTATGCCCTTTCTCAAACTCATCTACCTTTACATTACAAGCTATAACTTCAGTTTTTTTCCACTTAATAGAAAAGCTCTTTCCCACCATTTTAACTCTCATCAGTTCACACCCCTTACTGTCCAAAATTTGATAGGTTTGATTCTCAAAATGCAAGACATAATTATTTTCCAACATTTGTCCTACACTAAGAAGACTTTGACT